TGTGTTGATTGTGTTTGTTATGTTTTAAATAATTAATCGATTCGTGTTTTTATGTTTTATTAAAACAAATTATGTTAATAAAAGTTTTTTAAAGTTTAAATTCTTTTTTTAAAAATAAATTTTCGTAAAAAAAAAAAATAATAAAATCGTCTTGTGCGTGCGTGTGTGCGTGTGCGTGTGAATGCGTGTTCGGATTCATTCGATGTGGATGATGTGGTGGGATTAGAATTTTTACGACCTTGGATGTCCTAATTACGAAGCCATTTTATCACGTTTTCTGCTATTATATATATTTATATATAGAGAGAGTTATACAAAAAAAAAAAAAAAACACAAAAGTTACAAACCCAGTCGTTATGACACCCGCAAACTATACGGGCGTCAGGTAAACAAAAGACATTTTTAAAAAGTTATTAATCTATGTATTACTCTATCTCTATGGAATCGGTTAAAAATTATACCATATTAAGTTTTTTTTTGTTTTTCTTTTTGTAGAAAATGGTTAAAAAAATTTTTTTTTAAATAAACATTCACTTTTGTTTTGATGTTTTTACCCCGAGGCGAGGTTATCCTCTTTTAAAAATATATATTCAAACATAAATCGCGGATTAAAATTCACTTGTTTTTAAAAATGGTGAACGCGAGTAATAATAATAATAATGATAATGATAATAGTAGTGGTAAAATCGCAGTGCAAAAAAGTTTATGCAGTTGCAAATCGGATTTTGACGTTAAAAAATTATATAAAAAAAAAAATTTGGCTTTTGATAATCCGAGTTTTATCCCAACGGAATTTACCGTTAATTCCACGACAAATGATTCGTCATTAATGAAAGAAATTTTTTTCCACGGGTGAGTTTTTGTTTATTTATTATTAATTTAAATAAATAAATAAATAATAATAATAATAATGATAAATAGATAAATATTTATTAGAGTAAAATTGGAATCGAAATTGTTTTTTTTTTTTTTCTTGTATTTTCCTGTCGGTGAGAAAAAAGTTTCGTTTGTAAATATTCGGGGTTTGAAAAATGATAATTTAATGTTTTGGGGGGTTGGGGGGGTGTGTGTGGAAATTGTCGTCGTCTGCTAGGAGATAATATGTATATTTTTTTCGGAATTTGAAAACGCGACGTGTAAAATCCTCAAAATTTCTACCACGACGATTTTTTCTTTTTTTTTCTTCGTTAAATTAAATTTTGAGCGCCGCCATGTTTGTTTTTTTTTCCCCCGAACGTGTACGCAAACCGTAAACGATTTTTTTTTTTTTATTAAATTCGAGTTAAGAATTTTGGAAAAGTTTATAAAAAAAAAAAAAAAGGAAAAAATAATCCGAAAAAAGCGGTTAAAAAAAAAAAAAAAAATTCATTTAGATCGTGACTTATTTAAAAATGCAACAAGTAAAAATTTTCCTTTTTTTTTGGGGGGGGGGGGTTTTGTTCTCCCTTTTTGAAACTAACATCTATTTACACTTTTATTACTTACACACACACACACACACGTGTTGTATTATTAAATGAAGTTATATTTACCGCGTCATCATTATTAATTCACACAAAAAATAATAATAATAATAGAATTTTATTGAGTGTTTTTTTTTTTATTAATATGGTTAATTTCGGTGTTTTTTATCCCCTCTCCCCCCAAAAAAAAAACAAGGAAGTGAAAGGATTATAGGGTGGAGTGGGGGTGGGGGGAAGAAGGAGGAGGATTAATAAAGGAAAAGAAAAATTAAGAGAAACATTCAAGTTCAAGTTCATTTTTTTTTATTTTTTCTGTAATTTTATTTATCGTTTAAATTAAATTTTTAAATTTTCCGATGACATTCGTTGTGGGAAAGAGTGGGCGTTTCCGTTTCCGGTTTAAATTAACAACAACAACAACAACAATAAATGTGTTAAAATTTAGGTGGAGACATTTTCTAAATTTAAAATTTATTTATTTATGTTGTTGTTGTTGCTTCTTTTTTTTTTTTTAATGTGGGTTTTTTCGAATTTCGTGTAAATTTGTTCTTCAGACTCCATTTTTTTTTTATTCATTGTAAACTTCTGCAAAAAAAAAAATTCGCCATTTTTAAAATACTAAAAAATGTTTTTATACTTTTTGAAAAACAAACAAACAAACAAACAAAAAACTAATAAATTGGAAAGTAAATTTTATTATTTTTTCTTTTTACAATAAATAATTTTTTAAAATGTTTTTATTAAGGTTTGAATTATTATTGATTTCTTATCAATTATATCGATTTGTAATAAAAATAAAAATTATTATTATTATTAATAATAATTATTTAACTTTTGTATCATGTTTTTATTTATTTATTTATTTTTTCTGAATAAACGGTTTGTTTGTACATAATATGAATTTTTTTTATTTTATTTAGATTATAACTGATTAATATCCATATTTTTTGTTTAAATTATCAAAAGGTGAATTATTGTACGATTATTGATAACGGTCAATAAAATTTTTTTATTTCGACCATTTGCAAAAATGATATGGATGATGTCTGTTACGTTCGGTACTAATTATTACTACTATTTTTCCTATTTATGATTTTTTTTTTTTTTACGTGTATTAAATACTCTTTTTTGATACTAATTTGGTTTTTGTAATAATTGACGAACGGTTTGTCGGAAATAATTTTTTTAGTGTTTTTTTTTTTTGTGATCATGAATTATTCAAGTGTTTTTATATAAACAAATTTTCATGGTAAAACAGTTTTGATGTTTTTTTAATTGCAGCAACATCTATATATTTTTTTAGTAACTAATAACAAATTAACGCGGTTACAAATTTAAATTAAAAGATGTCGCTAGCTGTTCTAAAAAAGCATACGCATATTTATTTTTTTAAAAAAAAGATGTCGCCAGCGTTCTAAAAATCATACGTTTATTTATTTTTTTAAAAAAAAGATGTCGTTTACAACAATGAAAACAGCGCCGACGGTTTTTTTAATAACTACACGTCACGTGATTTTTATTAACCAATGACACGCGAGTTTCGTTTCTAATGAACGAAATTGATGCAGAATAATTTTTTTGGGGTCAGAGCGGTTTAGTGTTATTACTTAGTGTTTTGATTAGATAAAAAAAAAAAAAAATTTGTGTGAAGTGATTGCAACTTTTATTTTATTTTATTTTTTTTTTTGTAATTATTTGGAATTCTCTTTTAAGTAAATATTTAAAAACAGGTAAGTAAAAAAATTAAATAGTATATTTAGTTAATCGATATTTTTTATTCATTTGAAAAAAAATGAAGAAAACCCCTATAACCCCCTCCCACAATTTAAAAAAGGAAAAAAAAAAAAAATTGTTTTTTTTTTTTAAAACGTAGAGCTTTAGTTTATTAATAAGGCAATAATTTATATATTACGTACCTTAGCAAATATGTTTTACCGGCTTTATAATTGTCAATTGTTGTTGCATGCTTAAATTATTTTATTTTATTTAAAATCATTATTATTGAATGGGGTATTAAAAACGTTAGAAAAAATTTTTTTTTCCCTTCATTTTGTACTGATAATTGCGAATTAAACATTATTAAGTTATTTACAAAACAAAATTACAATTTGTCGACTTGTACATGTTGTCAGTTTACTAATTTTTTGTTTATTTTATCAGTTTAAAAAAAAAAAAATTAGTTTACATTTCATTTTTTACTGTTCAATATCAATCATGCATAAATGATTCATGAATAAGTTGGCAAATATTGATAGATTTTTTCATTTTTTCTTTTTTTCTTAATATAATTTATTATTTAGGTACCCATGATTTGTTTTAAGCAATTATCAATTGTTTATAAAAGAAAGTAAAAAAAAAATATTTTTAAATAAGTTACCTCATTCAATAATGTATAATAATTTATGTTAAATTTTTTTATCTACTTCCAATTTTTCTAAATGTTTTTTTTTTTTTTATATATATATATATTAACACATAATTATAATTATTTGAGCTTTCGATTATAGAGAGAGATTATATGTTTAAAACTTGTTTTTCAAATTTTAATTTGTTTTATTATTATTATTATTAAGCCCTCGAGAAAGTTAAATAGTTATCGCTTATAATAATATTAATAATAGTTTTTTATTAAATGTATTTATTTGTCGAGTAAAATAACTCTTTCTAAATATTTTAAATTGATAACTTATTATTGTTAATAATGCAAAAACCTTAAAATTTAATTTAATTTTCTCTCTCTCCCTCCATCCCCTGAATTACTCGAGTCATTGTTTGTCATGGTTAGCAAATTGTCCTTTTATTTTTATTTAATATTATCAACAACTCGAGTCGAGAATAAAATTAACTTTTTATAAATTTACTCCATGAATTCAACCGATTAAATTTATAATTTTTGATTTTTTATTTCGATTAATTGTACAAGGCAGAAAAAAAAAATAGAATAATAATAATCTCAGTCCTCTTTATCTTCTTAATTAATTTTCAATTTTTTTTTTTTTCGACTTGAAGTATATTACAAGGCAATAATAATAATAATTTTTTTCTTGCCTTAATGCATTAGAATTTTTTCATTTCGAATGAAATAGTTTCAATGTCAGTGTGTGTTAAGAAAAAGCCATTAAAAAACAAAAAAAATTAATAAATAAATTTTTTTTAAACGTTTTTAACAACATTTGAATGTATGTTGGCCCTTTAATGTTACAAAAAAAAAAAAATAATAATAATAATAATCAAAGAGATAACTTAGTTTACACTCTTTCTATATTTGGAAGTAGATAATAAATTATAATTAGACGTGTATCGCGATTCATGGGTTTATTATTATTATTATTATTATCAATTATATAGCAAATTGCACGTGTTAATATCACCTTATATTAGTGTTTAATTAATTTATTAAATTTTTATTTTATGTTTTTTTCAAATGTGTTTATATATACATAAATAAATTAGATGGAGATACGTTATGGATTTGATAAAGTTTTTTTTTTTTTGTTTGCATGTTTTTATGAAATAATTTTTCGGTTAGGCAAAAACATGCCTTCCGGTATAGGAGGATCATATAGATCGCTAGGAGAGGATGTGTACAGGAGCACGACTGTTTCAAAAGAAAAATTTAGCGTTGTGGAATCCGTCAAAAAAGCATTTAATTTAATCGGAAACAATCGTACAAATCAGGGTTCTTTTATTGTGACCGAGGAAGATGGCGGAAATGACAAAAAGTCGGTCGCTTTGCTCAGGTACGGTTTTTTCGTACAAAAGTTACCAAAAATTAACCAAAAAATAAATAAATAAATGACGGTGGAAAAAGGTCATTACGGGGTTAATTTATGTGTCGCTCGGGTGGTGCTTGGGAGACGTACACGCACACACACACACACACACATAAGTGTTTTAAGAAAAAAAAAAAAATAATAATAATAATAATGGTGTCGGTGAAAAAGAAAACTTTTCGGGGGTCTAACATTAAAAATATTTTGTATTGTAAAAAACATGGTGACTGGGGTTGCTTATACTAACTAATGAGCTTTTGTTAAGTTGCATGCTAAAACATAATTTACTTTTTTTTTTTTTTTTTTTTCTTTCTTCCTTCTTTCATTTTGTGTTGTTTTATTATTATTATTATTATTGTTATTTTTTTTTTCTTTCGGTTTTTCTGGTTGGTTTGAGTTACTAGGAAAAAAAAAGTATTGATTTAATTATTGTCGAGTTCACGGCTTCGGTTCGAGAAAAATTAATTTTTTAGGGCATTTTTTTTTTTTTTTTAAAAAATGGGCGGCGTCTTGGTTTTATCAATTTTAGGGATTTTTGAATTGTAAAAAAAAAAATTTGTATATGTAAATAATATAGTTTTCCCCCCACCTTACTCCACCGCCTCCATCCCCCTCCTCTCGGTTTAAAACGAAAGAGGAGGGCAAAAGGGGTAGTAAGGTTGAAGGTTGAAGGGGTAGTACTTGCTTACGTCACACAATATTTCGAATAATTTTCTTTTTTACGTCATTTTTTTTATAAAAAAAAAATTCATAAAAATGTTAATAATAATAATAATAATAATTTTCCCGTTTTTTCTTTTATTTTATTCTCGAATTTTTTTTTTTTTGCAAGAACCGACCGACCACCATATTTTCGTTCGTTTGTTCGTTTGCCATTTGTAATTTAATAGTTTATTTTGTCGTCGTCATATTGAATATGTTTGATAAGCACGCAAAGTCGTTTTCTTATTTTTCCCTTTGAATAATTTTCCTTACGGTGGTGGAAAATAGTAATAATAATAATAACGGAAAACCGTTTCGTAGTTTGACGAGACAAAAGCAAAGGAAAACGCGCCTTTATGTGTGTGTGCATTTTTTATATTCTTTTTCCTTTTTAAATTTTTAACTTCCGGTAAAAAGAAAAAAATCGTATCGATCAATTTTTTTTTATTCGTAATGTTTTTAAACTTTGGTAATGTAGAAAAAGGAGCGAGAAAAAAAAGTTTCGAAACTTTATACATAAGGCAAAAGATTGTTTACATCGTATTAATACTTTCGGCGTGGGGTAGAAGAATAAATGAAAATTTATAAGGGTTGTTAAATCGCGAGCTATTTAAAAAAAAAAAAGGTTAAACCGGAAGTGAAATTCTCATATTTAAATAACGTTAATTTTCGTAATTGTCCTTTGCTGCTAATGCCCCCCCCCGCTTTTTTTAAATGGCAAAAAAAACATTTTGTTCTTTATCGTAAAGGTTATTATTATTATTATTATTACGATGTGGGACGGACGAATGGTTTAAACCTTTTAAAATAAAATGGAAAAGGTTCGGGGTTGACAGAATGCCTTGTAGGTGATTCTTTTTTTTTTTTGGGGGCTGAGGGGAGAAGGAAAAAGGCTGGCTGCAGGTGAAGAAACTTTTAGAAAATTTTTTTTTTGTCGTTTATGTTTGGAATCTTTTTAGGTTTTCTGGTTTTTCGATCGGATTCGGTGATTTTTTTCACGGTGATCAATTTTTTTTTTTTCTTGGCTTTTTCATTGCTTAATTTTTTTTTTTTTTTTTTTTGGTGTCACTTTTGGTGTAGGGAAAATTCTGGAACCACCGCTTATTTCAATCTTCTTTATTATTACACACGTGCACATTATTTAAATTTTTTTTTTTTTCTCTTTCTTAAATTATCGAACTGTTTGTTGTTGTTTTCCCTTTTCTTTCCTGTCTCCCTCTCCCCCCTCCATTTTCTTCCCCCTCCCTCGTAAACTAGTTTTTTCCGAAAACTTTTTTAAAGAAAGAAAGAAAACTTTTTTTTTTTTTTCGTCGTTTCGATTCCTTTTTAATTTTTTTTTTTTTTTTAATTTCATTACTCTTTCCTTTTTTCCCTCCCCGCTCCCCGCTTTCCCCGTTTCTCCCGCTCCCCCATTCCGCCCCCCTTCCCTCGTCGTTATTATTTTACCAAACCATTTTTTTTTTTTTAGGGTTGTTTCTTTTGTTGACATGTAGATTTAATTTTTAGGAACAAATCCAACATGCCAGCCTCCGCAGTTCCAGAGGAAACGGCGCTTTTGGGGTAAGAGGAATCTCCTTACGTTTAAAAAAAAAAACAAAAAAAAAAAATTGAATATTCAGATAAACCTCGAATTATGTAGGCAGAGAGGGAATTTCAGGTTTTTTTCAACTCTTCTGACTGACGTGCCTGATTGAGGAAAAAAAAAAAAAAAAACGAAACAAAAAATCAATTCAACATTATTGATTCCCGCCAAAATTTAATTGTTCGTTGGGGAAGAAATTTTTTAATTTTTTTTTTTTTCCTTCACGGCGAACCCCCTTCCCCCTCCCCCCGATTATGTGAATTATTAAACGTTTCCCCCCTCTTTTTTTTCATTTCTTTACAATGAATTTTATCGATTATTGTAAAGATGTTTACGAATAAGTATCATTATTATTATTATTACATTTTGCTTTAATTTTATTTATTTATTATTATTATTATTATTATTATTATTATTATTATTATTATTATTATTAGGCTTTATAATAATATTAATAAGTATTTGTTGTTGTTAATTTTAAGTTTGTTTTAATAATTGTGTAAGTTGTTGAGCAAAGAAAAAGCGAAAAAAAATTTTATTTATTTATTTTATATGGTTATTATTATTATTATTATTACTATTATTATTATTATTATTAATATTATTATTATCGCTATTATTGTTACTCGAATTGTTTTTATATGTATGAATATTTTATTACGTTTGATTTGAAATTCAATTAATATTTCGAGTCGCGGTCGATAAAACGATTTTTCGTGCATTTTTTTTTTCCAACTTCCGGTTTTATTTCGTTCGTTTAATATTTTATATATTAGTTTGTCGGTAGGTTGTTGTTGTTGTTGTTGTTGTTGTGTCAACGGTTTTTTTTTTAAATAAATAAGAATTTAAACTTGAATGTGTAGAAACTCGACTCGCCTTGTACACATCGAAGTCGTAAATTTGATAATGTATTTCACAATGTAAAGACAAAAGGTTTTTTTTTTTTTTTTGATGAAAATCCCGGGATTTCCATTGAATGATGACTAAAAAAAATCCCCTTTCCGGGAATGACTTTTATATACACAAATCGAAAGGGAAAAAAAAAAAATATATCGATTATAATCGTGTTTTGTAAATAAAATGAAAAGAAAAGAAAACAAACGTTATTTTTTGGACCCGAGTTAAAATATCGCGTCGTCGTCGTTGTCGTCGTCTGCTGAATAAATAATAATTTTATTTACGTGTTAAATGTCCTTGAGATTAGAAAAACCCGCTAAAGCGCGTCGAAATATGCACATAAACATGTATCAGAATAAATAATAATAAAAAAAAAAAAATTCACTTAACTGGAAATAAAAGAATTTAAAAAACAGACAAATCTGGGTAATGTGAAATTTGATTTAAAAAAAAAATGGGGAGGCCTCGTATCGTCTGGGAAAGTGTCGTACCCCCTCCCCCCCACACAGTTTTTTTTTCGGTGAGTTTTTGCTTACGCAAACGCATGCACAAAAGGGAAAACATTTATAAATAAATTACAGTGTTAAAATCGTGATCAAAAAAAAAAAAAAATTTTTTTTTATTTAAAAAGGGGGGGAGGGGGTTGTACATCGTTGCACAAAACGTGCGTAATAAAAAAAACGAAAGAGAGATGGGGGGAGAAGGGGGAGAGATGGAAAAAAAAAGTTTTTTGTATGATGTCGTCGTCGTTGTATAACTTAATTTGTTTGTTTGTTTGTTTGTTCATGTTGTTGTGTGTTTGTGTGTGTTTACATTAATTACGTGTAAAAAAAAATGTACATACTTTTTTTTTTTTTTTACATGTTATTTATTATCATTTAAGTAAATTTATTTATTATTAATAAAATTTATTTTTATTAAAATCGTTACGTCACGACGTTATTAAAAAAAAAAAAACTTAATTTTTTGTATTACGGGTTATTCTCTTACGCACGAGACAGGAAAACAAATTTTTTGTACAGAGAGGAAGACACGCGTGGGGGGAAGGGAGGGGGGGAGAGGGGATAGCGTGACGTGATGAAAATATTTAAAGATGAATCTACAATGATAAAATCTAACGTCCGAAAAACTTGGATATCGAATCGAAATTTAAATTTAACATCGATCGATGAATCGATAAATCGATAAATCGATTATAGAAAAACAATTTTCTTTTTTTTTTTTTTTTCTTGTAATTAATTGAATGGCGTGGTCGGTCGGATTAGACGTGTAAAATTAAAGAGAGAGAGAAGGGGGGGAAGCAAAAATTTTTGAAATTTATAAAAACGGTTGATTGTTTTGTTTGTTTTCCCCGTTGGGTTTTTTTCTCCTTTTTTTCCTTTTTTTTTCCTTTTTTTCACGTTTAGTTACGTTCTTTTTGACAGTTTTTCTCATCGTCATTCCAGACGACGACGACGACGGAAATAATTTCCGGTTTGTTGTTCATTTCACAAATTACAATGAAATAGACGCATTTTTAAATTATTTTCTTGGTAAATCTAAAGTTTTGAAACCAAAAAAAAAAAAAATTTTGTAACAAACATTTTCATTTTGATTGATATAAATGAGAGGGGGAGAGAGAGAGAGGAGAGAGAGAAAATTTTTTTTTGCTGAGGTTTTTGTAAAAAAGGAAAATAATAATAAAAAAGGTTTCGATACCAATTTTTATGTTTCGTCTGTCTCCTCGAGTTCGATTCGTTAGACATTCGAAGAGAGAGAGAGAAAGAGAGAGAAGATGTCTGTCCTATTAATGATGAAATAAAAATTTATTTTATTTTATTTTTTTTGCTGAAAATCGTGAATCGATATTATATGGAAAATTACCATATATGGTAATATTTTCCGTTATTTGCGAATTTTCATTTATTATTTATTACATTATGTATTATGTATTTTTTTTGGCCGTTGTTTTTGCACAAAATGATGATGATGATGATGATGATGATTATGTGTTTATCGTTGACACAAAAAAAAAAATTTTTTTGTTAAACGAATTAATTTTATATTAGAATCGTGACGTAACAACCGAG